TCGGTTCCGCGAGCTGCGCCCCTGCGCGCCCGTGGGAGAGGTTGGCCGAGAAGACGCGACAGCTGCTCATTTCCGCGCCGCCCGCGACGCCCTTGCCACGGGAGTGCGACGAGGCCCCGCGCCACTGTCGCAAGGTAAGAGACCCCTCGACATCATCCAGAATGGGGGGCCGCTGATCCTGCCCGACGACCGCCCCAGATGAGAGGCCCCAGCCGCGACGGCGAATCGCGCCAACGCCCGCGGCGCCCCATTCAGCGACAGAGAGGGTCGCCCAGCCCGCCTGCAACAGCAAGGAGATGGCAATGGAAATCGGGCCGCGCACGCGTCGAGACCGCTGGGCTTCGGGCAGACTGCGCAAGGGGCCCACCATGCGAGACCATATCCGACGCAGAGCAATGTCGAGGCAGGGCGAGACGTGGATCTGAGCCAGGCATGCGCAGTGACAGCAACGTTGCGGCGCAGCGCCCGCGCCCAGCAGAACTGGCCGCCCGCGAGCACGCGCGCCCATGCGCCCGATGCCCGCGGGCAGCTGCGGCCCGAAGCCCACCGCGCCGCATCTCGACCGTCGCGCCGTGCCTGCAAGGGGCCCTCGCGACCCGCCTCAACTCTCGACGGTGAGCGCCCGCCAGAAGAATGTGCCCTCGAGCTGATGTCCCGGCGGGGCGCCGGCCGCCGGCCCACGTCCACGTCCGAGCGCGCCGCCCGCTGGCAGTCCCGCGCGCGAGAGCCGCGTCGCTGAAGAGCGCGCGCCACCGCGACCGCGAGGCGACGGGGGGGGGCGCGCCGCCGAGCTATCTGGCGGCGTCGAGGCCCTGCCCCTTCAACAGCCGCCCTGCGCCCGCCGCCCCCGACGCGGGGGCGCGTCTGACATCGGCGCATAATCGAGCGGCGCGTCGGGGGATATCGCCACCCCACAAAGCGCCCCGAGAAGGTCGGGGCTGCCAAACAAAGCTGCCGCGCAACCGAAGCGTCGCAAACCTTGCGCCGCTGCCCCGGGGGGTGGGAACGCGAGGGGGCAGGAGTCCAGCCGCGCAGCCATGCGTGGGCAGAAGCAGAGAAGGGGCCCGAGGGAAAGATCGCCGGGGGAAACGCAATCGCAGCGCCCACTGCGACAGTTCGGGCCGCCCGATCTCATCGCATTGGGCCCCGGCGTCGGTCGGGGCGCGACCGCGCAGGGCCCGCCGGCGACCGCGCAACTCCACCCCGAGCGCCCGCGCGAAGGCTTCGCGCAAGGCGCTGTTGCTAGCCGCGGCAGCGTCCCGCATCGGATCCTCATCCAACGTCCACTGCCGAATCTGCCCCTGGCGCGCCATGTCCCGTAGCCCACGCGGCATGGCGACGAGGCCGATCACGCGGTCGCCACCTGACTTCCCCCCAAACGACGAGACGCCACCGTCATCGCTTGCCGTTGCCATGATAGGCCTCGCCCAATGATCCCGCACGAAGAACGCAAATTGACATGCGCGCTGTCTGGGGGTCTCTTGAAGTCCAGCGGCGACATGCCGTCAATGCCGAGGCCTGCTCTCGGTATCTTAGCTTTTGCAGGTCGGCGTGGGTCGGTCACGGTCACGTGCTCAAGTAACTCCACTGCCGCATGCCCCCTTTCACAGTGCCACGCGCCTCGGAATCAAACTCATGGCCGCGGGCACTGACGACCACTTCTCTAGCCGCTCGCGAACGGTAAAATCGGCACTATCCAATGGACGAACGACGCATACCCCCCCCCCCCTCAAAAAAAAAACGCGTCGCACATTAACAACCGGAGGTGGGCCCGCTATTCTCGCGGATGGCGCCAAGCGAATTGACTGCCACAGCGCATGCCCCAAGCTCGTGAAGCGAGGTGGCGAGGCAGCGGTAGCCCGCGCGCGGGCGCGCCCAGCGCCTTGCTAGGAATAATCGCCGAGCGCCTTGAGCAGATCCACTCCAGAAGAACCCAACTGCCTGACATCTGCCACCCACGGCGAACGGGTGCCCCAGCTCGAGCAACTGGGGGCTGCGTCTCCATGAGGTGCCGGACGCAGTGGGCGACCAGCTGCCTCGCCCAGTTTTACACTTGGACCGCGCCATTGCTTCGAGGAAGATGGCGCCCTGTCTAGTCGATTCCGCGCTCGGGCTGCCAGCCGAGCCCGTCTCCTGTCGCGAAGAGGCCGCGAAGGAACGCGAGCGGCCTGCCGAACTGGAACCGCGACGCGATCAAACCCGCCAGCCCGGGAGCGGCGTGGACGAGGCCGGTCTTGTCGCGCTGCAGCAGTGAGCTCCACCGCATGAGCCCGCGCGGCGCAGTGACTGCTGACTGGCAGCGCGCGCCGCTGCCCATCCGCGAACGCCAGGGACTCGCGCATCGGCGGCCAGTCATGCTCAAGAGAGCGCGAGGCCCAATTGGTTTGAGCCGGAACTGCGGACCACGAAGCAGCAGGCATGGAGAGAGACGGAGCGCCAGATCCAGCAGTCGGGTCGGAGCTCTGGCCAGATGAGCCGTCTTCGATGCCCTGAGGGCTCTCGCCGGGCTGGGCCCGACTCTCTCCTGCGCGCGAGGCATCATCTTGATTAATTGAATTAGACTGGGTATTTCTAACAGTCTAAGCAAGACCGTCGACGGGGACCTCCGAGCTGACGGGGGCCTTGGAGGCCAGCGCCATACAAGACTCATCGACCCGACTGTCCTCTTCTTTCCTGGCCTCCAACAAACTCTGCAACTCATCCTGATCCTCGATCGGATTGTCAGGCGGCACCTGGTCCAGTTGCACACCCACGAAAGCGGCAGCGCCCGAATCCCCGTCGGAAGCCTCGACGTAAGACCCTGCAGCATTGACGACGCCGGCAGGCTTCGCAAGGCGAGCATGCAACTCAGCGCAAATAGCTCCATGTTTCACACTCGCCTCGGAACGACCGAACTGCAGCCACTGCTTGGGTCGACCAGACTTGAATACTATGGCTGGGGCGGCCCTGGGTCGCGGCTGCAGCGAGAGCCTCGGATCAATCTGCATAGACCTCATGAGCAGCTGCTCTCCCGCCCTCTGGAGACAAAATCTAGCCCGCTGCGGGGTTCCCGAGGGGCCGCTTCGACAATGCCAACTGACGCGACATACGGAATGCACGCAGGTGGGGCGCCGAGAGAATCAATGCGCGAACTACCAGTGCAGACAGCGCATGTGCACAGTGCCTCAGACGCGACGGGTGCCTCCGAACTTCTCCTAGCACGAGACGATATCATTGAGTTGGCCTCGGAGGCCTCTAGACTTGTCCACAAAACGATGGACGTGTCTGTAGTTCCTAACCCAAAGTACTTCGCCTGCGCCTCCTTCAGACGCCCGAGCTTGAAACGCCAACGAAATACACTTGCCAGTCGCCCGAGCTCCATTCTTTGGATACCTCCAATGAATCTTCTGCACAGCCTATGCCTATTCTTCGCGAATGCTGCTCGCCCCAGGGATGTGCGATTCCACCAAACCTGTTCGTACCTCTGGCGCACCTGCTCGCTGCCCACGAACTGCCGCGCCTGCTGTTCCAGCGTGGTGATGCTCGCGTAAAGTATGTCGCATCCCTCCTTAAACAAACTGCAGTCCGTGAAGCTAGCCTCCTGGGTCTGCGTTTTCTCATGCGTCTGCACTTGGCCCTGAACCGAGGATGTCGACGCCTCGGCTGGCCACGTCGATCACAAGCTGGCCTCCGCCCCCGCCTCTGCCGGGACGGCCGTCGGAGCCGCCGCCCTCGCCTGCTGGATGCGCCGTATCCCCTGCGCGAACTCCATGTCGAAGTGGGCGGTGTCCGACGCCGCCACCATGCCAGCGACGCCGCCGCCACCTCCCCCTGCCGCCGATGCCGCCTCCCCCGCATAAGCACCCACCGTCGCACTCGCACCTGCGCCAGCGGCTGTCGCTGCGCCCTTCGAAGCTCCACCGTGGTTTTCCTGCAACTTGCATTTCTTGGACGTCCTCTCCTTGATGGCCCGCTTCGTCTCCTCGATAGTGATCTTCCACTTCGCGATATCCCCCTTCTTGGGCGACACATCCGTCTTGGGTGTGATCAGGTCGGCGCCGGACTGTTTTAGGGGCTTCTTCTCCCGCTGGTCGCAACCCACCGAACCGAGCGAAGCAAACAACTCGGCGCACCACTGCAAATTAGCAATGCTATCTCCCTTGGTCGCCGACCCGGCCGTGGCGATGCCGAGCTCATGCGCCAAGGCCGTAGCCGCCGTCTTCGTCGGGATCGCCGCCATGGCGCAGGCCTTGAGCGCCTCTCCGTGGCAAGAGCTCGTTCGAGGTTCTCACGACATGGAACAAGTTGCGACGACGCCTGCTCGTACCTCGAAGAAGCGTCGCGCCACGTCCCCTGAGCCCGAAGCTCGCCTGACCGCCTCCGCTGGCACGACGCGCGCAAGGGACGGTCATTGCCTAGCTGTCTGGCTGGCTTTCCGCTGGTGGGCCGCCAGCGGTGTTTTCACCTCGGGATTCTTCGTCAGCTGCACGGCCTCCGCGAGCAGCGCGCTGACTGACTCCTCGGTGCCTGGAATGGCTCCCTGCAGGCTAGTGGCCTGCCGCTGGGCCTGGCCTCGGGACGGCTTGGGCACGAAAGACTTCACCTTTTCCTTGGCATTTGCGGAATTCCCTCCGGGCCGCACTCAGGACGTCGTTGTATTCGCATGTCCCGTACCCTGCGCACTTCGACCACGCGCGAGTGCCCTTGTGCGCTGCCATCGTAACCTTATAGCCACCAAGAGAGTCCGCCGGTAAGGGTAAGCGTCCGCCTTGGTGCCTGTCAAGCACCGCGTGGAGGCGTGAGGACGGGACTCTGCAAAATGCCTGAGCCCAAGTTGCTTGAATGGGGGGGGAAGAAGAAGGGGAGGAGGGCGAGGGGGAGGGCAAAGTTAGGGGGGACTGGCTCTGGGGGGTAACCGTCGACCTTGAAGCGGCTATACATCGCCGGTGGACCAGCGATTGGTCACCGATAGCGAACCCTCAGGGCCTCTTTCTCATGATGAAGATGTGAAGGCCCCCCGCCTTCAACGTACACGTAAAGGCTGTACGGTTCCAGGGTGTCGAGGTTGCAGGCAACGGTTACCGACACGATGTCGCCCGCGGCGACGCTGACCGGTCCGTCCTGTGGCGCGCTGGTTGCGCGATAGGCGGCAGAAACCCAATCAGATTCTTGATGGGCTGGCTCAAGGAGCAGAAACGGTCAGGCTTGCTTCGGTGCTGCACGCTCCTCCTCCTCCGCCCAGCCTCCTGGTACTAACTATTGCCCTGCATCCTCGAGGATCGAGGAGGGACGTTTTTGAACGTTTCTAGTATGGTATTGCCTCTTTTCGGGCCTCCGGGGACCCAGATGTCCGACGAGCCCTCTGGGCGTGGGTGGTTTAGGGCGCTCCTCTTCCAACCCCCACTTTTCCCATTCGAGGAAGAGCTTGCCACAACCCCATGCTGATGCCTACACACGCTCTCCTCACTCGACAAGCAGCCAACTAGGAACCATGAGCCCCTCCATCCACCATCCCCGTCATCACATATGAAACCCAAGGCGGCGGGATCAAACATGATATCATGTTTAGCTTGTCTGGATGTCTCCTCCTGCCCCCCTCCTGAGACCTCCTCATCCTCCTGCCTCATCCTGTTCCTCCTACCTCCTGCCTGTTCCTCCTCCTCCTGCATCATCATCCTGCCTCCTCCTCCACCTGACTCCTCCTACTGCCTCCTCCTGCCTGCTCCTCCCCATGCCTCCTCATCATCATAATCCTCCTATGCCTCCTGCCTCCACCTCGTCCTCCTCGTTCTGCCTCGTCCTGCCTCTTCATCCTGCCTCCTCCTGCCCCCTCCGTCACCTGCCTCCACCTGCCTCCTCCTCCTTCCTCTCCCCCTCCTTCTCCACTTCCCCTCCTCCTCCTCCTCCTCCTCCTCCTCCTCCTCCTCCCCGGGCGTTTCGCCTGAGACTGCCTACCATGATCCTGAAGCTCGAAATGTGGCTCTCGCCTTAGCGCCGCGCTCATTCGTCTCTTACAACGCTCCAACCGTTTCAGTGATGAATGGTGGATCCTCTCAAGATGTGGCTCTCGTCTGAGCGTCGCTCACAGTCGTCCTCAAAGTGTGCGCTAGCTTCACGGACGGAGGGCGCTCCTTCTTTTCAAAATGCGGCTCTCGCTTTAGCACCGCGCACACTCGTCTGAACAGTTTACAAGCGTGAGGCAACGTTCCAGAAAACAAGGCGCGTGGCAAGACTTAGGATTGTCAGGGCTCGACAGTCACGTTGATTCACGGAGTTGACGTCCCAGAACTTGTGCTCTGGCACGACTTAGGACCGCCGGGTCGCAACAGTAACATCGATTCGCGGCGTTGACGTCCCAAGAATAGTGCCTTGGCACGGTTGAAGGTTTTCAGACGGCTATCTTCCAACGGGGCTCTTCCTGAAGTGTGGATAGATCCTTATGAGAGCCTATGACGTGGGACCTTCGAGGAGAAGCTTCATTGCAACATATTTGATTCGTTTTGGGTGTACACTGGTCCTCCTCCTCCTCCTCCGCCTCCTCCTCCAGCTCCTCGTCTTCCTGGATCACCCTCCTTCCCCTCCTCCTGATCCTCCGCCTCCCCCTCCTTCTCCTTCTCCTACCCGTTCTCCTCCTCCTACTCCTCCTCCTTCTCCTCATCATCCACCTTCCCCTCCTCCTCCTCATCCTCCTCCTCCTGGTCCCCCTCCTCTTCTTCATCCTCCTCATCCTCCTCCTCTTCGTCCTACTCCTCTCCCTGCCCGTCCTGCAACTCCTCCTCCTCCTCCTCCTCCTCCTCCTCCACCTCATCATCAACAGCATCATCATCAGCAGCAACACCATCAGCCTCAACAACATCAGCATCATCACCAGCAGCAGCAACATAATGAGCATCACCAACAACCGCAACAGCGCATCAGCATAACCATCATCATCATCAACAACAATATCATCATCGTCGTGTACCTCATAATCGTCACCATCATCATCTGCAGCATCACCATCATCGTCATCATCACCATTACCACCATCATCGTCATCAACATCGGCATTACCATCAACATCATCATCGGCATCAACCGCATCGTCATCATCTACATCGTCATCATAATTGTAATCCGCACCATCCCCATCATCATCGCACGTCTGTCAACCCATCATTCCCTTCACCAGAATCAACATCATAATCAACAACACCGTCATTACCGTTATCGTCATCATCCGCATCATCATTGGATCAGCATCACCAGAGCATCAGCATCGTCATCCTCATCATCGTGAACACCAACACCACACATAAGCATCAGCATCACCACCATCATCGTCGTCATCATCGTCCTCATCATCAGCATCATGATCACTGGAGTCACCATCAATAACAGCATCGGCATCAACAGCATCAACATCACAAGCATCAACAACAGCATCATCACCAACATCATCAACATCATCATGCTAATCATCACAATCGCCATTCGTGTCACCGGCATCGCCACCATCATCATCAGCATCATCCACCATCATACTAACACTAATAACAATCATCATCAGCCTCATCATCATCAACAGCAGCATCATCCGGGGCACCATCATCAGCATCATCATCATCATCATCATCACCATCGTGGTCACCGACGTCGCCATCGACATCTCCATCATCACACCAACACCATCAAACTCAACATCACCAACGACATCAGCAGCATCAACATCAACATAGCCAGCATCGCATCATGATGATGATGAGCAGCATCATCATCGCTATCAGCATCATCAGCATCGTCATCGTCGTCGTCGTCGGCGTCTTCCTCGTCCTCGTTCTTCTCCTCCTCCCCATCCTCATCCGCAACTTCCTCCTCCTTCTCCTCCACCACAACCGCCGCGTCATCATCATGCCTCTTTCTCCGCCTCCTCATGCCTTCTTGTCCTTTTTTTTCCCGGTGTAGTTGTTTCTCCCTGTCGCACCCCCATACGCGTCGGCGGGGCAGGTCGAGCGCTTCGCCTGAGACTAGCTCGCCATCTAGGATCCAGGAGCCTGAAGTTTCCATCAATCCCACGGATGGAGGGCGGGAAATTTTCAAACTGTGGGCATTAGCGCCGCCAGAACTTGTCCTACATGGTTGCAGCAGTTTCACACATGGAGGGCGGGTCCTTGTCAAATGGTGGTTTCGCCTGGGCGCCGCGCACATTCCAATTAGAAGTTGTCAAAGGCTTCACGGATGGAGAGCGGGTCGTTTTCAACATGTTGCTTTCACCTGAGCGCTGCGCACACGCGTGTTAAAGCTTGCAACGGCTTCACGGACTGTGGGCGAGTGCTTTCCAAAAAGTAGCTCTCACTTCCGCGCCGCTCGCAGCCGACCTGGGAGATTGCAACGAGTCGCGGATGGAGGGCGGGCCGATTTCAAAATGTGGCTCCCGCCTGAGCGCCGTGCACATTCGTCTCAAGCATGTGCAATCGGGCCAAATACTCGCATTGTCGAAGTCCCGGGGATAGCGTTCTGCCACGATTTAGGGTTGTGAGGTCGCAATCGTTACGTTGATTCGCGGTGTTGATGCCCCAGAGACGGTGTCCTGGCACGATCGAGGAAGTCAGGACGCATCAGTCACGTTGACCATCGGCGTTCAAGTCCAAAGAAGGCTGTGTTGGCACGCTTAAGGGTTATCGGACGGTTGTCTTCTAATGGGCTACTTCCCGCAATGAACAGGAATTCTTCTAGGGACCTATGAGGAGGAAACTTGGAGGGAAGGCTACTTGCAACATAGTTGATGTGTCTTGGATTTGCACTGGTCCTCTTCGCCTCCTCCTCCTCCCTCTGCGGCCTCCTGCCTCCTCCTGGGGCCTCCTGCATACTAATGGGGCTCCCTGTTGCCTCATGGGTCATCCCGGGGCCTCCTGAAGCCCCCTGGTGTATCCCATGGCCTCCGCTGGCCTCTTCTGGGGTACTCGTGAGACCTTCAGGGGCCTCCTAGGTCCTCAGGTGCCTCCTTGGGCTTCCTGGTCTCCTGGCTCCTAGGGCGTCCTGAACTTTCCTGTAGCTTCCTGGAACCTCCTGGGGCTCCCCGCTCGAGGCGTCCTTGCAACTGGCTCACAAACGGGGCCCACGCTCGAGACATCGTGACAAGCTGCTCAGGAACGAAGCTCCCGCTCGAGACTTCCCGATATTCAGGTTGCCAGGTGTGAGAGACGATGGTGCTGCTGATGATAATGGCAATGATGATGATGATGGTGATGATGATGCTGATGCTGATGATGATGATGATTATGATGATGAGGATGGTGATGATGATGATGGTAATGATGATGCTGATGATGATGCTGATGATGATGATGATGGTGATGATGCCGATGATGGAGATGCTGATGATGATGATGATGTTGATGATGATGATGATGATCACCACGGTGATGGCGATGCTGAATGTAACAGTGGTGATGGTGATGGTGATGATGATGACGATAGTGATGATGATGGTGTTAGTAGTAGTGATGATGGTGCTAGTGATGATGATGATGCTGATGATGCTGATGATGATGCTGATGCTGATGCTGATGTTGCTGCTGATGATGGTAATGGTGATGACGGTGATGGTACGATGATGACGATGGTGATGGTGAAACCGATAGTGCAGATGGTGATGATGATGGCCATGATGCCGATTATGCTCATGACGACGACGACAGTGCTGATGGCATTGGTGTTGATGTTGCTGATGCTGATGCTCTTAGTGCCTGTGGAGGTGGTGATGATGAGTCTACTCATGATGGTCAACGGGAAGTGAAGAGGAGGGGGTCCTTCGCTGGGCGACCAGAGAAAGCAAGAGCCCCCCTTAGGATGTGAGGAACACTGTTAGCTAGCGTGGACCCCAAATTGTAACTTTTGCCTTGTAGCTGTGGAAGCCATGCGGAGTAAGCTATGTGGTGTGAGCTATGGTGTGAAAGCTATGCGCGGTAAGCTGTGGTGCCAGCTATGGTGTGTAAGCTATGCGATATGAGCTGCGCTGGGTAAGTAAGCTATGCGGTGTGACCTATGTGGTTCGATGTATACTGTGCCGCTGTAAGCTATGCAGTCTGAGCTATGTTCTGTCAGCTGTGTTACCCACCCAGGGCACGCGGCGCACACGA